TATATAACATACCGTCTTTAACATTTGATTATGTGTATTCTTTTTATTAGACATTCTATATGGATTTTTAACCCAATTTTTGTGAAGCGTTTCGTACGTTTCAGTTGTCAGCCCATTTAATGTACCATATCGCCGAATGGTATGAATAGTATGATATTTCCACATATGAAGCTTTGGTAACTGAAGTCCACTAGGGGAGAATTGCGCAAATATATTTACAAAATCATTAGACCAATCAATTATTTCACGCTATATTAAAAAAACAAATTAGTAAAAAATTATATGTAATATTATACTAAAGAAATAATCATACTTCGAAGATTTTTAAATCATCTTCATTAAATTTCTTTTTTCGTGACGTAATATACATCTTAATAAATTTAATGTAACATATAATAAGGTTTTTACATGAAGCAATAGTATATAAATTACTATCTGTTTGGTTTTGATTAATTTTATTATCTGTTGTGTACAGCTCATCAAGGACAAATACAATAATCTTCATAACATCTCGCATTTCACCTCCTGTAAATTTTGTACCCTGTTGATAACCTTTTTTTAATATTCTTAAATTATTAAATCGTGTAATAGTAGCCAGTCGATTGTCCATTTTACTGATTATTCGATTTCCATACTGATACATGAGCATATCTCTTGTATAATCAAGCATATATGGAAATAATCCGATTTCTTGTAAATGCATACGATCTAGTGCTGCTGCATCATATATGTTCATCATTCTAAAAAAAAATTATAATTTTAAAATTAAATAAAAAAAAAAGGAATCATCAAATAAATTTGAATAAATTAATACCTAAAATTCCAGAAAAAATTGTCATATTCGTGAATGGAACAATTTTCTGCATTGTGAGAAGCAATAGCTTCTTGCATATTTTCATGATTACGTAAATCTATCATATCCTGTTTAATATTCATATTATTTAATTGATCACCGGGCGTAAGACATTTATAACAGGGACATCGTGTACGATATGACTTGTAAGTACAACAAATATCCTGTGCTTCTAGCATATCCGCAATTATACTAGACAAATAAATGGTAAAGTGCTCAACTTTTCCATTTATTGCTAAGTATATACCATCCTCCTTAAGAAGTGGACCTAATAAATATTTCAAAGCACGATGCTTCAATTCCCGTTGCTTTTGCTTAAATTCCTTTGAATTTCGCAATTTATTATCTCGCGTAGTTAAGTGTGGTAAAAATCCAATAAGAACCTTTGAATCAGGTAAATTATGGCGTAAATTTGGAATATTTCCAAGGGTTAAGAAAATAGGATACTCAGATTTTCGCCTAAGAGTATCAAGAGTAGTTCCATCAATGTAGATCATAATGGCCAGAATCTTGCTAAATGGATTATATCTTTCACGCCACCAGTCTGCAGTATTTTGTTTAGAATATACACGTACAAGTGATCCATCCTAGAATAAAATTATTATTATAATATATCAAATATATCAACACACATACTGTATATACTTAAAATACTTACAAGACCATATTCCCATTGTTCTTCATAATTGAAAAGAAAGTCTTTACTCAAATCTGAATTTGAAACCAGACTTTTTATCGCATCATAAATTGGCCTATAATGTAATTTATAAATTTCTTCTTCAAATGTAAGGAGTTCTTTTTCTTTAAATTGTAAACCTTTAACATCCATATTATTAATAAATGTGCGCCCTTTTCTAGTAGATCCAGAAAGTTGATCGGTACAATGTTTTTTTAGTATACGTAACATAGAATCAGTGGCTGCATCAGAAAGGTGATATTGTGTTACAGCCATCATAAATTCTTTGTACGTTTCACTTGGCCATAATGTTAGTTCTGAATCGTTATTCAAATCTTTATATGCATCAGCTAAACTCACGCCACAAAAATCTTCGCTTGATGCTTTAGAAGAGATGCTTTTACTTTCTTGCGATTGGGTGATTTCATGATATTCACTTATATCATTATCTGTATAATCATAATTCTGAAAAGAGGTATATTCATTGAAGGCTATAGGTACGTCTGCTGCATTATTTAAATCCAATTTCTTAACAAATTAGTTAATAAGTAGTGATTAATAAATTATTTTTACAATGATTTTTAATAAAAATTTATGCAAATACCTCATTGTTTTGTTTGTCGTCACCACTTGTCATTTGTAAAAAGATATCTAAACCTTCAATTTCATTCCAAACGTTATTATCAATAGTTTTTTGCCGTATATTATTATTAGAACTTGATTGTTGATCCTGAACCCAATTTAATGTACGAGAATGGTCGGTATATGAGTGAAGCTGGTGACAATGTTGGGTCAGGTCTTGTTTTCGTGAAAAATAACGTTTACAAAAGTTACATTGATACATAATTATAATAATTACACGTTTAAAAATAATTATATAATTATAACTTTAGTAACTTGGTTAAAAAAAAATACATTTGATCTGTATATGATCAGATCTTAATCACCATATGGGTAATTACCATTTTTTGATAAACAAAATAATTCATTCGTATCATATTTGGAGTTTAAAGTAACTTAAACTTCTACTTTTTAAGTTTCAATAAATTCACTTAGAATTTTCCGTCATGCCTAAAGAAAAAGGTAAATATTTTTTATTTAGCATGGCGCTATGGTCAAGCCTTAATATTACTGTTATATATATGAAATTAAGAATAGTCTTGTATATTACCGTAATACCGTTTTATATACAAAATTAAGAAAACATTTCGTTTATTTTTATTTAATATAGTTAATCAAAGAATTTCAAGACGCAAAAATTCTTCTAATGTAACTAATTCTAAGACAGCAATAAGTGAAGCATATAAAATTGCTGCTCGTTTAGCCGCAGCAAGGTCTATTAAATCATCACTAAAATGACAAGATGCAAATATTGAAGTTGTTGCATCAGGTTCACAATCTAGAGTAGCGCGTAATTTTGAAGATTCTTGTGATCTTTTACAAATACAAGAACAAGAGATGCGTGATGATAATAGAGAAGAAACATTGGCTCCACTAGCTGATGCATCATCTAATATGAATACTTTGAGATCAATGGAAAATGCTCCAAGTATTCGAATTTAAATTAATTGTTAATTATTTATCACTGACATAATATTGACTTGGTCTTTTTTCAGTTGATACTTCTAAGACGTTTTATTTGCATATGATTGAAGGTTTAAAGAGGAATTTGGGTCAAAATAAACATATATACGATGCGATTCATGAAATGAAAACTTCGCAAGATGTGTTCCAAAAAGAAACAAATGAAAAACTAAATACTATTTCAGAGAAAATTAACCAATTAATTACTCCTGAAGATTCCTATTGGAAGGTAAACCTAAATAATTATTAAATACTTTTTATGATTTGATATACACTCTTTTATTTTATTTTTGTAGAGTTTGGCGTCAAAAGCATGCAAAATTCAACTACCTATTCTTGGTCTTTATCCTGATGATTCAGAATTCAAGAAAGGTTTTGAAAGTATACTTGAACAAGAAAAGCCAGGTTATATCGAACAACTTGGTTTACAATGGAATCAGTATTATTCGGGACGCATCAGACCTCTAGTAAGTTATAATATTAGTAATATTAGTTATTTTTTGTATTAATTATGATACTTTAGCTAATAATATTAAATGTTCTCTTTAGTGTCGTGACGTAATTAAAAGTCAAAGATGTGATAAGGCCAAAGATATCCGATCTGCAATGTTTGACATATTTGGCAAAAATCTTTTAACTCGAATTAATACTTCAGCAGGAGCTGAAGATATTACGGCTTTTAAAAATTCAAATAATACTAAAAAGGCGTTTAAATGTTTATTTATAAGTGATGATGATGGTGCTCTTCCATATATTGAAGCAATTAAGAAAAAGGCTTGGGGAAAAAAGAAGACTACATTGATGGATACTGCTTTCACGTTGGCAGTTTGTGAAATTGTTTTAAATCCTAGACATCCACGAATATCTGTTAGCGATAATGCTCTCCATAAACGATTTGATTTATATTTGGTAAGTAAGAGATGCGATTGCAATTCATATTAATTAATAAGATGGTTGATAATTTATCTCATTTATAGGATTGTATCTGTAATTTTAAAGAAATAACGTCTGAGATTACCAAACAAGTTAGACAAGATGAATTAGGTAAAACATGTGATAATTCGGATGACACTAGCGAGAGTTATGACCACCATTATGATGATCGTGATGAAGATCAATAGAATGATCAAGTCGATAAAGAACTTGGCGAAAATAACAATGATATTAATCAGAATCAAACAATTGATGAATTAAGGTAATTTTGATTTATAGTAATAATAATAATCTAATAACATTTATAAATACTAATCATATTTATCAATCGTTTTTTAGTAAATTTAACAGATTTGGATAATAATAAGACGTTATACAGTTATGTATCTGTAATCATATTATTGAGAAATTAAGCAAATTTAAATTATCAGTAACAGGATATGATGTATTTTTCTAAATAATAGGAAATATAAGTTTAATTTCGATGTATTAAGAGAATTTATACATAAATAATTAGTAAATATAGCGCGTTAAAATGTAATTTATGTAATAATCTATATTATTGTTAATCTATAATTTAATCGTATATAGTAATTTATAATAAATACTAGGAAACGGGAACCGTTGGAAGTCCGGAGCGAGGTATAATAATAAAGATGTAGCGATATTCTATTAATTAGCAGCATAACGCCTTGGAATTCCGGTAATTTTCTGCTGATTAGCAGCATAACGCCTTGGAATTCCGGTAATTTTCTGCTGATTAGCAGCATAACGCCTTGGAATTCCTGGACAGAGAAACTCACGTGATTGAAAATTTACACGTTATTTCCATAGATCATCATAGTGCGTAAACATATATAGTCCTTCGCTTCGCTCCGGACAATTAAATGTGAATTAATAATTAATATGAAAAATTCAATTATATTAAATCCTTAAAGATCTTTGAATTAAAATTTAAAACCCTTCGGGATTCTTTAAACTTTTTAATTCTAAGGATCTGCTAAGGTGGGGAAGGATCCACACAAATCTTTACTATTTATGGAAAATAAGGATCTCATGTGGATCCTGACTCCTAAAACATTACCGATGTGTATTTGAAATTCTTCAATTTTTTTTGAATATATTTTATTAAATAAATTACATATTAAATAAATTACTATATATAAAATTGTTTGTAATAATTGTGATGATCAGTGAAATTAAATATATTTGAATTATTTCGAATATTTATTTTTTAAAAATCTTCGCAGAATTTCGTTATTTGTTTTTTTATAATCTTCGCAGAATTTCATTATTTATTTTTTAAAAATTTTCGTAGAATTTTGTTTCTTGAAATTCTGCGCAGTTTTTGATGAATTTTTTTTTCAAAGACTGCCGACAGGGTCGCAGATCTGCACAAAAATGTCACCTGCAGATCTGTGCAGATCTGCACCCCAAAAAATTTCCCGATGTATGAAATAAAAATAAAATAAGAAGTTATTTTTACCTTTGGTGCTTTTAACATTTCTAAAACATTTACTCCAGTTGACTGAGTTTCTTGCTGTATAGAATGAACATTTTTTAAATGTTTTGTTATATTCGTAGTACTACCCCCAGAACATATATAAGTTTTGCTGCAATAAGTACAGGTAGCTCTTTTATTATATTTAAAATTTTCATCTTTTTCGAAATGGCTCCATACAAAACTGCCTTGATTATTTAGAGCATTTTCTAACGATTCTAAATTACTTAATCTTCTTGCTGGTGTTGCCGGTAGGGACGCATCAATTTCATCTTCAGAATTATGACAACTTCCTTCATTGTTGTCTTCTGCGTCCATAGTTAGTTTACAAAAAAAATAAACTGAAAATCTTTAAAAAAATTTTTTGGTGCTACATATGTTGGTTGATAAACATCATGATTATCAACTTAGTGTTCCAAACGGATCAAATCAGATGAATCTGATTTTGACTCGAATCCATTATTTAAAAAATGTTACATAACGTTTTTTATTTCAATTTAACGAATAAAAAACCGTTTTGCAACGGTTTTTTAATCATTTAAGAGACAGATCGTCATTCAACCGGAGAAAATGATCGATATTCTATAATTAATTTTACGGGCTTTGTAATTAATAAAAAAAAATTTTTTGGAATTTCTTGTTCTTTACTATAATTTTTTTTCCAATAAGTGAAAAAAAACAGTATACAATAACTTTCATGTCCAAAAAAAATATTTCATAAACTTGCACTATAGGTATACATATGTAGTTTTAGTAGAAACTGTACATGTTTAACAAAGAATGTGAATATTAAAAAGATTCAAATAAAACTAAATAAAGATTTAAAAACTAAATAAAAAACCAAATATAGCTTAGTTACAGTGAAAAATGTTCAAAAATTTTTCATCTAATATTTGGGTTAATAGGAAATTTACCGTCGGAATCTTGCGTTCCTACATAGAAAAGTCAAAGACGCTAAACTCTAGCGATTTCAAACTTTGCAAGTGGCTTAGCTAGGATTGTCACTATTAATTACCGTCTTTAAAATTTGTGTATCATATCACATGATGATATGACAATCCGGTAAAAAAGGAGTATTAGCCATTTTTAGCGATAATTTGCGTAAATCGGCATTATTAAAATTCTCTGGTTGAGTGGCGATTTGTCCCTTAATAAAAAATGTTGCGAAACGTTTTTTATTCCAATTTAACGAAAAAAAACTGTTTCGCAACGGTTTTTTAATCATTTTAATAAAAAACGTTGTGAAACGTTTTTTATTTCAATTTAATAAAAAAAAACCGTTGCGAAATGGTTTTTTAATCATTTTAATAAAAAACGTTGCAAAATGTTTTTTATTCCAATTTAACGAATAAAAAAACCGTTTTGCAACGGTTTTTAATATTTTAATAAAAAAACGTTTGCAAAACATTTTTTTATTCAATTTAATAAAAAAAAACTGTTTCGCAACGGTTTTTTAATCATCTATATATTAAAAAACACTGCAATCACGTGGGCGTTATGTTTAGATTAACCATATAAATAAGTCATTTGAATTGTGTAACCCTACTCCTATTCATCGCCAATGTTACACAAAACCAAAAAGGAAATTTTATTTCTGGCGAAAAACTGAAATTTTGAGTTATGCAGGATTTCATAAAAGGAAATTGTCAGGTACACAAATTTCTAAAAAAGGAAATTATTTGCAGATCTTTTAATTCTGGCCGGAATTACATATTAACTGTTGTCGTAGACAACAGGTGAATACTAGTTTTAATAAAAAACGTTGCAAAACGTTTTTTATTTCAATTTAACGAATAAAAAAACCATTTCGCAACGGTTTTTAATATTTTAATAAAAAAACGTTTGCAAAATGTTTTTTTATTCAATTTAATGAAAAAAAACCATTTCGCAACAGTTTTTAATTATTTTAATAAAAAAACGTTGCAAAACGTTTTTTTATTTCAATTTAATGAAAAAAACCATTTTGCAACGGTCACAGGTCGAAAAGTGAAAAATCAGGCATCAATCAGGCACCAATCAGGCACCAATCAGTCACCAATCAGCTACCTGATTGGTGACCGATTGGTGCCTAATTTTTCACTTTTCGACCTGTGGGTTTTTCAATTATTTTAATAAAAAATGTTGCGAAACGTTTTTTATTTCAATTTTTAACGAAAAAAAAACCGTTTCGCAACAGTTTTTTAATATTTTAATAAAAAAACGTTTGCAAAATGTTTTTTTATTGCAATTTAATGAAAAAAAACTGTTTCACAACAGTTTTTTAATATTTTGATAAAAAGACGTTTCACAACGTTTTTTTATTTCAATTTAATGAAAAAAAAAACTGTTTCGCAACGGTTTTTTAATATTTTAATAAAAAACGTTGTGAAACGTTTTTTTATTCCAATTTAACGAATAAAAAAACCGTTTCGCAACGGTTTTTAATATTTTAATAAAAAAACGTTTACGAAACATTTTTTTATTCAATTTAATGAAAAAAAACCGTTTCGCAACGGTTTTTAATTATTTTAATAAAAAAATATTGCGAAACGTTTTTTTATTTTAATTTAATGAAAAAACCATTTCGCAACGGGTTTTCAATTATTTTAATAAAAAACGTTGCGAAACATTTTTTATTTCAATTTTTAACAAAAAAAACCCGTTTCGCAACAGTTTTTTAATATTTTAATAAAAAAATGTTTGCGAAATGTTTTTTTATTCAATTTAATTGCCGATCCACGAATGAATCAGACCTAGTGATCGGCAAAATCAAATCTCCACTTCTAAAAAAGTAAAGTCGGTCAATTTTTAGCCAAACCAATTAAATTTTTTTTTAAAAAAAACTTAGAGATTAAATCTATTTTGTAAAAATATAAATTTAAGTATTTCAAAACTCAAAATTTTGCGAATTGCTTTTAAATATCATCAATTAGCGAAATTTTAGTAAAAATTATTTATCATTTTTTTTTCTAATAAAAGTACTAGCAAGAAGTCTCAAAATTCACACATATATACTTTGGACATATATTAATAGAATATTAAAAAAAAAATGATATAATAAATGTAAAAATATTTCCTATTTTAAGGTTAACTAACAATAATCCATTTTTCCATTTTTAATGCTTATATGAAACTTTTATAAATCAATCTTTAGGAATTTAAAAATGGTAATTTTATCTTAAAATATAAGTTCTGAACATATTTAAAGCATTTATTTTCAAATTATTAAGTGAAAAAATTTTTCAGTTTTGTGTTGATGGTTACACAAATTACGAATTGAAGAAATTTAAAGTTTATTGGTGAAAGTTTGACTTTTTTAAGAGCTATTTTTGATACTTTAATAAAATAAAGCAAATGTCAAAGTTTTTTCATTAAAAATTTCAATCTATTCAATTAAAAATTGGTGGATATTCCTATATTGGAAATGCAGATTTAAGGGGTGGTCCGATTGGTACATGGATTATATTACTAATTAATGAAAAAAAAACCGTTTTGCAACAGTTTTTTAATATTTTGATAAAAAACCGTTTTGCAACAGTTTTTTAATATTTTGATAAAAAACCGTTTCACAACGGTTTTTTAATATTTTGATAAAAAAACGTTGCAAAACGTTTTTTTATTTCAATTTAATGAAAAAAAACTGTTTCGCAACAGTTTTTAATCATTTTAATAAAAAAATGTTGCGAAACGTTTTTTTATTTCAATTTAATATAAAAAACCCGTTTCACAACGGTTCTCAATTATTTTAATAAAAACGTTGCGAAATGTTTTTTAACAATTAACTTAACAATTCGCAACGTTTTCAATTTAATAACAGAGCATTTTTTCATCTTATTTTTATGAAAAAAGGCTTTTTGGATCTGATCTAATCCGGATCTGATCTGGATCCGCTCGAATCTAATCCGATCTGATCCAATTTGTATGAATTGTTGATCTGATTCGATTCGATCTAAATCAGATCAAATTTTTTTGATTCAGATCGAATCACAGATCATAAAATTTATGATTCGATCTGATCTGTTTTGAATCAGATCCGCGGATACAGATCGGATCGGATTTTTTTTGGAACATTAGGTATCGACTTTGGGTCTTTAGATTTGATCGGTAAGTTTCGAAATTTCATTTCAAAACTTTTTTTTAAAAATATAACTTCTCTTCATTTATTTTGTAGGTATCGGCTCTGGGTCTTTGAGTTTTGGTTTAGTTGGTAAGTTTTGTTTAAAACTTTTCTTCTTTAAAATTTTTTATTTTTTTTTATTTATAATTTTTATTTATTTATTTTGTAGGCTTCACGTCTTTGGATATTTCAGATCGGTAAGTTTTGAAATTTTGTTTCAAAACTTTTTTAAAATAAATTTTTTTAAAATTGATTTTCTTCTATTTTGTAGGTATCGACTTTAGGACTTTAGATTTTGGATCGGTAAGTTTCGAAATTTTATTTCAAAACTCTTTTAAAATAATTTTTTTTTTAAAAATAACTTTTCTTCGTTTATTTTGTAGGTATCGGCTTTGGGTCTTTGGATTTGATCGGTAAGTTTCGAAATTTCATTTTGAAACTTTTTTTAAAAAAAATTAACTTTTTTCGTTTATTTTGTAGGTATTGGCTTTGAGTATTTGGATTTTGGATCGGTAAGTTTCATTTTGAAACTTTTTATAAAAAAAATTAATTTTTTTTTTAAAAATTAACTTTCTTCATTTATTTTGTAGGTATTGACTTCAGATCCTTAGTTTTTTATACATTGAATAGGCTGGTAAATTTCAAAAAATTATTTTTGTTGAAGAGATGATTATTAACCGTTTTTTCTTGTAGATTTCTTTCGAATATTGGATGGATGGTAAGTTTCAAATTTATTTTGGAACTTTTAACATTTTTTAGTTGAAGAGACAAGAGACGAATACTAACCGTTTCTTCTTTTTTTGTAGATTTTTTTCGAATATTGGATGGATAGTAAGTTTCAAATTTATTTCGAAACTTTACTTTTCTTATTTAAGAAACAATTTATTAATTATTTCTTTCTTTTTTTTATAGGTTTACTGATTTTAGTTATAGTAGTAAATTCGAATTTGCATTAGAAAAATATAGGATAATTTAAAATATGTATATTAGTATAGATGTATAATAATAGATATTATTTTGTTAAACTTTTAAATTGTTAAAATTAATAAATTGTTTAATTATTTATATCTGATAAATTTTGAATGTCGAATGGTTGATTTATATCCGATTTATATCTGATTTTTTTATTCTGAATTATGTCTGAGTGGCAACCACTCAGAACCCAAATGAAACATTGCCTTTTTTAAAAAATCAGCCAATTGAGTTATAAATCAGATTAAAATCAGATGATTAATTTCTATCTGATTTGGACCATTTTGACTAGTGAAATATTGGTCAATTTAAGCCTAAATAATGATCGAATAATTAGTCTGAATTTGGAACGATTGGCACCTTAAATGCACCCAAAAATTTGACCTCAATTTGACACAAGTTAGACCATCATTTGACCTATATTTGACCTGGTCAAATTTAGGCCGAATTGTCCTTTTTTGACTAGTAGCAGTGAATGTATACCAAGTATCGCAAGAAGAGACTATCAGAAAATTGGTTCAGCATATTGTCCAGGAGAATCTTAGTGAAATGAAAGTGGGAGATATAGTTAGGGTCTTGGTCAAAATAACTTCTAATACAACCAGTGAAATATTGCATTTATTACGACTTCAAAAAGAACTGCGCAACTTAAAAGCATCAGAAAAAAGCATCTCTATTACCTTTGATCCTGAAACAACCTGCTTATATATCAAATAACATGCAAAAGGAGTGTCGACTCCAACATGAAAATAAAGGGATAAATTATCTGTTAGAATCAGTTAAAAAGAGATTAATAAGTGGGTATGATGTATCAAAAATTTCTGACATGCAAGCTCTTACCGATATAATGGTGATGCTTTGTATATGTCTAGCTGAACTCAAAACCTTATGTATAGTAGCCAATGGGAAGGTGACTGGCTATGTAAAAAATAGAAATCAGGAGGATCTTCCCCAAGTATTTAGATCAATGGAAAAGAGTGAAGAGCGAGCTAGGCAGCTACTTTCTTGGGTGCAGAATGCAATTTCATCAAGACAGTTAAGAGATCCAAGTATAGCTGAGGTTAAATGGTTAAATACATTCCTTAAGAATCATGATTTATTACCATGCAAGATAGAGATAGTATTTGTGGTAGTGGTACATGAAGCTAAGAATTTATCAAATGCTATAACCATTACCAGTGAAGCACTTTGGCACAGTCCCGATAATAATACTTCACCGGTATAAAACTATACAATAGTTAATTATAGACCTCATGGGGTACCTTACGATCAGGTAAAGCCATTCAAAGTCTCTGATGAAAACTAATCATATGGGTGCATCAGGAAATTTTTAGGTAGATCGATCCATTTAAATCCATGCAGGTTAGCTTGGAAACACATGGAATTCTACACATCAAATCATGTGACATGTTTTCATATATATTCAAAGAATTGTGTAAATTTCTGTTTGGTGTAAAATCTTATTGGAAATTTGTGAAATTCTTTAGCGAAATATGTGGATTTCATTTATAAAATATGCAGAATTTATCTATGGAACTCTGAGTTGATTAATTTTAAAGAGAATATATCATTATTGGAGTTAAAAGCACTACGTATAAAGTGTTTATTCTTTATTTATTTTTTTTAATAAAGTGTTGTACTACTAATTTAATCACTTACCGTAAAGTCCCGATTATAAGCACCCTTCCGAATATAAGCACCCCAGATTTTTATATTACCCGAAAATAAGCATCCTTGACCAATACTATGATAATTTTGGCCAATACTGCAATATACCAAATATATAAATTTATCCAAATATAAGCACCCCTATAACAAAAAAAGGTTGCTTATATTCAGGACTTTATGGTATTAAAAAAAGAAGTTTAGTACAAACTGAAATAAATGATTGGAATTCTAATATTTTCAGTAAATGATTTTTTGATTTTATATTTTATGATTACTGTAACTGAATCTGTAATAATTGCTTTTGCAAATAGTTCTATTATTTTGTATTAACATTTTTTTAAAAAGTTATATTAAAAATTTATGTATATATGTGTGAATTTTTTTATTTTTTTTATTTTATTACTAGAAAAGTAGTATATCCAAAACTATTACAAATTAAAGTAAGACAACATTTATATGATGGACAACTAAAATACGTGTATAGAATTTTAGAAATTCATCCCCTACGGGACTTCACCTTTCGGTAAAAATTTAGGACGTCCCCCAAAAATGCCCCAGGAACCCCAAATCTACCTTCTAACCTCTCCCCATTTTTGGGGGATAATGCATTGGTCTGCCAAATGCTACTACAATCTTCACATTACCATAAGGTTAGAGTCAACCGCAATGTGCTCACAGCTCCGTCAAATTGGTAGACTACCACTTTTGGTAGTTGTAATCCCACCCCTACCATTATAACCCTGAAGGGCCACCTGGATACCAAGATGCTATAGGACATTTATGAACCATTTGGCAACAGTCCCCCATCACACTCTGACTATTATGTGGCAGAGTAATGGTTTTGACCTGAGTCAGTGACCATTCCTAGGACTCGCCATACCAGTCTACCAATGATCGCATCTACCACCTCACCATCAGTAGGCATCATTTCAGCTCCCCTTATGGGTATAGGATCTTTAATGCAGTTGGTAGCTGCACACACAGTAATATTCTAATAATTTGTTGGCTATGCAGATCAAACCTGCTGTGTCCTATTGATTGGTCAGATCAATAGGGAGTGTGTGTAGACATCTTAGGCCATTACACTAGGGACGCCAATCCTGTGTACATGTGCATGAAATTAATGAAACTTTGATAATCATATATATTATTATTAATCACATAATCATCACGAGTATACTCATATATTATCGTTAAATCATGATTTAAACTTTAGTAAGCTACTTTAATATTCTTTTAACCTTTTAAATTAATTTCTTTTTTTTTTCTAATAATGAACCATACTTTAATATGAAAACTAAAAATAAAGATAATAATATTCAACCAGTACGATATAGTATTAAATAGAGAACAACAACTCAAATAAGTAATCAATGATTTATTATCAAAAATATAATGATCTGCAATTTGACCATTTACGTTAAAGCTTAAGCTTTTTTTTTAAAAACTTAAGTTCTTCTCATTTCTCCCTTTTTTCTTTCATTCTTTCATTTTCTCTTTCTTCACCCTTTCCTTCACCTTTCCTTCTCTTATTTCCTTTATTTTATTATAACGAACTGTTGCTAAAGATTCATTTATTTTTTTTTTTAGGCATTTATATTTTGGAGTATATATCCATAGAAAATTCAGTGGGATTTTCTTTAAATAAATAATTATTTTAACGAACATTTTAACATATTTTTTTGTAGATGGCGGTATATACTTAAATATGGACTAAACAATTGAGCCCTTCAAAAAATGATATGGAAAATAACTGGGTCATGATCATTATGGAGTAGAAGATATCATAGATATATTGGACTATTTATTTTTTGGATAACACGTCAGAGATTTTATTAGTATAACTTCCAATTAATTCTTTTAGTGAAACGTTTTTAACATTTCACTTCTTCCTTTTTTAGATAGTCCAGAGCGTTGGAACTCTTCTTGAATTATTTTGATTAATTTTGTCCAATTACTAATTTTTTTTTCTTTTTTTTTTAAACGGTTTTGTTCCTTAGCTCTTTGGATGCAAAACCCTATAAAAACATTCTTTTAACGAAATATTTTAGATGTTGGGTCTTTGGATGGGTGAAAGCTTTGGTAGGTTTAGGCCTTCTTAGTTTTCTTTTTTTATTTTTTTAACAACCTGTTTCTAACGGTTTGATTTTTTTCATTTTGTAGAAAGGCTTGGTTATTCAAGTATGAGTTGAGCGTGAGAAAACTCTTTCTTTCAGTCATTCATATTTTCATTTTGATGGCTCTCTTGTGGAAATGCAAGTAGATTTTAAATTTTTTAATTATTTATTCTTTTTTTTTCATCTTTGATTATAATCTCTTTTTTCAGTTTTTTAGATTCCATTTTCATATCAGTCTTCGGATACATGTGAAATTAAGAAAGAATAAGTATTTCAATTCGGAGAACTTCAAAAATGGCGAGTTTCATGTTGTAAAACTTAAATTATTTTATTTTTTATAAGAAATGTTAACATTTCTCTTTTTTTTTGTAGGTATAAATGTTTCAATTTGGGACTTCAAAATGAAAGCATACATTTGGTACATTTGGTATATGAAAAATTTTTTTTTTTTTCATAAGAAACGTTTTCTTCTTTTGTTCTCTTGTAGGTACCTTTCACGTACTTCTTATATTGGATACTGGTTACACAGTAGGTTCAAAGTTTCATTTTGAAACTTTGGTTCTTTTTTTATTTATTTTTTTTAAAAGAAACATTACTTATTTATTTTTATAACTTCCTTCGATTGGCTTCGATCTTGGATTAGGAAAACAGGTGGTTTCGAAATTTAACTTAGCAAAACTACTATTTTATTTCTTTTTAGGCCTCTGAAAATTATTATAATGTGTATCAGTGGATTATAAAGTTTAATATATATAGGTTTCAATTATTTATTACATCGTATTTTACTGTAAAATTGAAGAAATGCATATTTACGAAATAAATAGTAAATGCCACTATAAAATAATATTTGAAACAATGTAGTATTTGGTACAATTTCTTTATGATTTTTCTATGATTTTCCGATGAGAAAAACTAAGTGGAACGATCTTGAACTTTTTGGATCCACTCCACGTGGTTTGTTACAGGGTATTCGGAAAATATTGGTTCCACTTGGAATTTCCATGATGGTTCCACGTAGAATTCTCAGTAGATCTTAACCGGCAAAAACTTCCTGATGACTGCCCTACCCGCGCAGGAGATCGGTTAGGTGAGAATTTATTTTTTCGAACAAGATATAGCGTACATAGCGCGCATTTAATTTCGAGTATTTTTCCGCATTCCTTAGTCGGAAATTAACATAGCCCTCTATGGAAGGGTGGTACTCTACCGATCTAACTAGTCCGGAGCGGTGATCACCAGCTCGGAAGATTTTCTTGCTGAGCCACAAATTGTGAGACAAACCTCCGGTCACCAGTCAGTCTGTGCGACACATTAATTTCGCATATATCCAAAAGAACTTATGCAACCATACCTTTATCTTTTTTTCCCTGAACGAACGCGAAAGGAATGTGAAAATCCTTTGTTGCGACACGGGACCCACCCTATAAGTTAATATTAATGTCAAAAGCATATGCTATGAAAGGCTGAGGACTTTGCAATTCCGAGATCGTCAGGCGTAAAGCTACTTTGCGTCTTTCCGGTAGATCTACATGTGAAAAGGTTTGAAAATTCCGTACACATGTGCTTTCAAAGCTTTCTTGGCATCATACGACAATGTTAATCATATGCCTGTTGGCTTTTTATTATTCCGCAAGCTCCAGAAACAAGATATATAGCGTGGAAGAACTGGTAGAAGTTCGCTCAACCTTCCCGCGAAAAAAATAAGGTGCGTATATACCCTTTATTTTCTCATCCCTTTGGTCGTCGTTAGTAAAGATAGTAATGGAGGACTACCCACTCCCGCTAAAAGCAAATCTAAATTTTTGTAACGCAGGATGGCCAATATTACTCTCAACTGCCGTATTGTTCCAAATGGAGAACTTAATAATCTTCCATGCGATAGAACAATTACAATTGATAGGGGGCAAACAGTTAGCGCACTTGAAACCGCAATTTAAAACAATCTAGGGGCGTCTTTTAATAACATTCCTCTAGAAATTCGTCAAATTCATCCTAGCAGTGTTAATGAAAGACGTATGCAATCGCAGGCTTTAATTTCCGAATATTTAATGGTCAACCTGATACAGACTACGTTCATGTCAAAGCATATCCCGTATCACTGGAGGAAGAAGAATAATTTTTTTGTATTATGCAGTGCGATATATTCGCAATTTTTATGTACTGTGAGCTGGTTTCCGGCATGATTTATTTTATTAAATAAAGCATCGTTATACTGTTCTCGACAAATACTCGATACATGTAATTGATGTGAACACGACTCTTACTTGGTTGAGAACTGGGATACAGAAACCCTTATCGATTTTTTGAAAGAGCAGAACCTCAAAGCTTGACGATAAAAAACACTATGACGTTCTCCGCAACAGAGAAATCGATGGACAGGTCTTTATCGAAAAAAGATTTTATGCAAGCAGGGTTGGAAATGGGACCGTCTATGCATGAAACTTGCAAAAGAGGCCAAGACCCTCAAAGAAAAGCCGAAGCGTGTGTTCTCCTCGTACCTCAGCTTGAGTGAGGTGTTAGCGGAATATGGCCTGATATAGATTCCATCCCTTTGTTTGAACCACAAATTCACGAGATTCAAGATGATAACGAGGTCTTCAAGCGTTGCATGGAAGAAATTTTGGGTAGATTGTGTTCCTACGGAACTTTATAGCCAGACAGCTTGGAGGCTATGCGTAATGAGTATGTGGTAGCACTTCTTCACGCTTCCATCCATTTCGTCATGGATATAACAAACAAGGAGCTAGCATACGTCCTCAGTATGGAATAGCTGGAGAAAGAAAGCCGAGGCCGAGTCGATTATGCAATTAAGGTAAATTTTTTTCTACTCAAGCTTGTCGCAATCATGTTAACTAACTTATCACTAACACGAACTATGTAAATATGTGAGTAGGAGGCCGAAGACCTTATCTGTATCACGGAGGATAAACAACATAAGGTCCCTATAGGCTTCGCTCAGAATATCAAACAGCTTAAGAGCGCATGTGAGACGAATAAGAGGAAGAGAAAGCGGGGCGATGATGATTTTGATTACCTCCATGTTATTGTCATAACAGGTCGAGACTGGCATTTCCTTTTATATAGCCCCGGAAAAATATCTAAGGCAAGTGATACTGCATATTCGATCGAATTTACAAAGAAGGCTTTAGACTCAAACTCAGAAGAATACCAGTCATTGCGTAAGAGTGTGAGAAAGGTTTTGGGCATTATTGTGGCTAAAGGATAGGGCATGTGCGGAAGAAGAACCTGAAAGGAAGAGGGTTAGGATAGAGGGATATCGTTCGAAAAAATAAGCATGTATAGTACCATAGAAAATTCATCATGTATCACGGGAAAAGTCCCGAACATTTGTATTTATTTTTCGCATATTAATAAAATTTTTCTTGGTAAATTTTGCTGACCTCGTGTCAGAATGCTTACATAATTACAATACTGCAAACATGAGATCGGAAATCAGTTGATTATATTTCATTATTTTGGTTTACAAATATGCAAGATAAGCAAATGTTCCTATTACTTTAATTTACAAATAAATTTACAAATATGCAGGATGATCTTCTAATTGCAGAATTATGATTGATTTATATAATTTTACTTATAATAATTAATATTTAAAATTATACGATCATCCCAAATCTCTTTCGCCTTTTCCTTCATTTTAAGCTTGAACTCCTTTACAGGGATCCGTTCACCTGTGTCCTCCATGACTTCGCAAATATTATCTGGATAAATGAAAAAATTTGTAAGGCCTTCAATTAGATCTTTTCCAAGGTATTTCAGGCCTCGTTCCATCTCGTTCCATTCATACATATGGTCATCCTCATCTAATATCCAAATAACATATCCGGAGTGATCTATGAATATTGGTTGAGCACTTTTAATATCAAATTTCTCATTAAGATAACTGAAATATTCCGAATCTACAAAGTCCAATGAGTCTTTCTCTGTGATCTGGTGAAATTCCCAATGATTATTTTTATTTAGTTGTTCACGTAGGTAATCTGGCAACTCTCGCAATTTCGACAGGGAAGCTTCCTTTTTTTCGTTCTCACATCTATTGTGCGCGTTTTTATCGGAATATTCGGTTTCAACTTGGTTAGGTAGATCCAGGGATTGGTCTCTGCGCAATTCCCATAGTCCCATCCTTCTATTTTTTGCATTATCACTCCGTTCGGATCTCTCGGGAATATGTTCAAATCGTAGTCCTGTCGAATCGCAATCAAGGGGTCTCTGTTCCCCTTTTTCGGGGCTATGACTGATGCTCCGTAGGAGACTGCTGTTACTCTTTTGCGATTTGTCGTCCAGGACAAATTTATCGATGTTGGACGTATTTGGGAACTGCTGGCTGGTTCTAGGATGTTCAACCAGCTCGCTAACTGATCCAGGTGCTGACAGAAAAATTCCTCTTGTTCCATGAGGTCCCAACATTTTTTCTTTTTTTTCTTTTCTCTTTTTTTTCTCTTTTTTTTTTCCTTTTTTTCCTTCGATCTTTTCTTCCTTCTTCTCTTCACTTTTCTCTTCATATGACAGTTCATCGAATATATGAAGCATATCGCATCCGGCACTGTTGTAATTGGTAAGGTGGGTTCGTCTGATATCGTTGCTATTATTGACACCGGGTTGCCATTTGGCTTTGTTTGAAAGGGTATTCGTTGCTCTCTGATGTAGAACATCAAAAGTAAATATCAATGCATGACCATTTAACAAAAACCAAACTTTTAAACGTACTTGTACGGTAGTAGAATTTTTTTGTAAATATATTGAGTCTCCATACTCTTCTTCCCCAGCTCTGCGATGCACTCCCATATCTAAAGTAAAGAATCTTGAGAAACTTTCTTTTCCCTTGTTATTCATAGAATTGGTAAATAAAAATCAGACTCACGTTCTACATCATTAATCATTAGATTCATTCTATTATAAAAGATTCGGTTGTACAATTGACCTAATGTGGCTTTTTGTGTGATCGATCTATTTATATGTGTACGACATACTACCTGATCGTTATCAGTTAATTAAGGTATGAATATTTCAATTGTGGCTGTGCATTTGCAAGGAAGCGAATCAGAACTTGCAAAGCTAATGTCTATTTTTCAGAAATTTCGAGAACTTAATTAGGTGGAGAGCAAAAATTTTCGGTGAGATTTACTTATTTCTGACTCTGCATGTTCTATGCACAACTGACGACCATTTTTATTTTATCCAGAATATCGATGTTGAGACAGATGAAATCAGATTAGAGTTAATGTTGGAATATTGTATTAGTATAGGTAGCTTAGATGAACGAAACACCGGCAGGCATTGTCATAGGAACTCTATTTCATTTTGTAAAACAAGTTTATATATTACTGAATCTTGTGGTTTATTTTTTACATCAATAAATCAGTAATTTCCGATCGTGACATTTTTTTTATCTATGCTAACGAACTTTTGAATTATTCCATCTTATATAAAAAATTATTATCGAACATGCAATCCACTGATTCATTGAGAGAATTAAATGCCAAGCTCTTAGCAGAGATTGCCGAACTTAGGAAGAAGTTTTCTGAAATTAAGACCAAGAATGATGAGCTTAAGGATAAGAATACTGAAATCCCTGAACTTAGAAGGAAGTTCGCTGAGATTGAGGCTGAGAGAGCTGAACTTTTAAGGCCAGAATTGCTGAGCTTTTAAAACAGGGTGTGGAAGAAAATAAGAGGCGTGATGCTGAGAATGCCGAGCTCAAGGTCAGAATCATAGAGTTAGAGAAAAATAAGACAGTTACCACTAAACTCGAGTCTGAAAATGCTGAGTTTAGAGATAGAATCACGAAAGTGGAACAGAGACAGATGCAAAATGATAATGTTACCATAACCAATTCTTCTAACAACAGTAACAACAGTTCATCTAACTTCAATTTTGTTGCAGAGGATCGCGGGAAATCATTGGCGGATGAGAAAATGGATGGTTCCTTTTATGAAAAGGTTTGCTTTAACAAAGAAGAACAGATGCCAGAGGTATCACCTGCCAACGTACCTGACTCAGACATAGCTCAGCTCAAACATCATGCACCTGTTTGTGAAGCTGTACCAGAGATAACAGTACCTGTCAGCCCTTCACTTTGCGAAGATGATAAAAAGACCGATGAATTCTTAGACTTGGTGCAAAAGAAAAGTGTTAGTGATAGGATAAGGCAACGCAATAAGGAGAAGAAAATTCAGCGTGAGTCAGTTAACCAGGACGTCACCTCCAAACCTGCGTACGTAGCAGAAACAGATAGTGACGATGACAACTCATAAGAGCCAAGCGATCGGAGCATTTTGGAAAAATCGGAAATTTCTGGAAATTTTGCGAATAAAATTCACAATTTTCATGATCAAAATATTGACAAATCTATAGAGGATAACCAGTTGGACTGTAATTTATCCAAAAATGATTCATCTGGAGATGACGATTTCACTGTTCCTTCCGAGCAGGCACTGGAACGTGACTTGATGCAACAATTATCTCTCCCATCCACTAGTATAGACACAGAAATTCTGCTCACCCCGCCAGTAATCGATAAAAAACAGCAATTTTCTGTTACAGCAGAGTGTATAGTCTATATGTTTCGAAAAGCTGTTCGCTCTGGTTATGATTTGCGGAAAGTTATGACAAAAGAATTAATGAAATTCGTACTATCAACAAAGTTAAAATCAATACTGCGAAACAACAAGTATACCAAGAAGTTAAAAAACTACTTCCAGATATTAGTGTTGTTAATCTACGTCAGCAACTATCTAGGGCAAGAAAATTATATAAACTATTTAATGCAGTAGGCGTGAAAAAGATAAAGCAAGTTACCTATAGTGCAAATGCAATCTCGAACCTTAACAATACTCAAATCCAAAATATTATAGTCTATGTGCTTTCTAAAGCGATCACTGGTGATCATCAGAATCCAAAAAACAATCAGATCAATGCATCGGATGTCTTAGATTCAGCTAAGGCAAGTGTATCAACCGCACCTATTCCTTCAAATCATGACTCTAATTCTTCAAGTAATTCCTCTGGTACTGATCCAAATAAGATGGAATGCCTTTATCGATATGCCGTGAAACATGGCCTCGATCCTGAGAAATTTTCGATTATTACTGAAGCTGAGAAAAAAAGATGGACCTACGCATGCCTCCGCGGTATTTTGGAGAGAGATATGAATTTTTATCGTGGTGGAATAAAGAGAAAAGAAGACCCTAGAAAATATTATACATTTCTAACAGACCGTGAAAGGTTAATCGGTGAAGAGCTATTGCGTCGTGATATTCTAAAGAGCGGTTTAAGCACTGAATGGCTAGATAATCTTATGAAAGAATGGGAGAAAATCCATACACAATTTATACAGGTTTTCGCTCAGGAATCCTCCAGCCCGAAAAAAATGGATGACAAGGTGGAGGTTGTACTACCTTTTTCCCAACCCAATAGTCCAATTCATGACCAGGCATATTTCCGCAATAAAGTCTTAAAGCTCTATCCTGACATACATCTTCATCGTAATGGTAATGCTGGAACAAATGATATATATCGTTGCAGGACAAAATCTTCATTATGCCCATCATGCGGTACAAATCATGAAGAAAATATAGTAGGTTATTATAGGAATGAAATAGGCACATCTGGCACCTCTTATCGTATAGGTTGTATGTTTAGATATACAGGGGCTCTCGAGATTCAAGCATAACACCTGAAATGCGCAGTATAGGCTAGGATAGTTCGAGTGTTATGATCTTAGAATGTTATTCGCTTTTTGCTGTCACGAATAAATAAAGTACCATTTTTTGCATGTAATCTATACTCGTCTACTTTCAATGCGGAACGAGGTAGAATATATGCCGAAATTAATAATAAACTTACCGCAGAAATCGGAAAAATTAAGGCGCGTGATGATGTTCTCACAAAAGAGGCGCAGAAAATCTTATCGATGGTTAATAACATAATCACGAGACTTAATACCATCGAAGAAGCCTGCCGTAATGATTTCTCTGCAATTAATGCTTCCATTGAAAATCTCCAAAATGAAATGATCCGTCAATATGCTGTTGCCCGAAGAATTCAACCAGTCGAAACTGACCAGCTGAGCATGGCTGACAAATCAGAAACATCAAACCAGTCACATGCAAATTCGTCTGGAAGTTCTGGTAAGCAATCCGGAATTTATATTTCATATATGTATCCATAACTTACAATTCGCTATATTTGTAGATTCTGGTCCAATAACATTCAGAGGTATTAGCTTAACTGTCTGGACCCGATTCAAGCAACTTTTCGATCAGATAAGGGATGAAAAAGGACTTAATACGGAGGAGATATGCCTTCTCGTCGCAATTGAAATTCGTGAACTTGGAGGGAAAATCAAAAAGAATACGATTCAGGGGTTTTATGAGAGAAATATCACGAAGAGGGGTGGTTACATTAGTACATTAGATGATATTGGTTTCTTTGCCATTTAAAACGTGTGTGCATGTTTTCGAGTGAATGACGTGTAACGTCGAAAAAATCAATGTTTTATTAATACAGACTGAAGGATAAATACAAATCGGGACATTACGCCCGTGATACATGCGAAAATAAATACAATGATTCGGGTTATTGCCCGTGATACATGATTTTAACGTCTGACCCGCTATGTTATGTTAATCTACACTAACTTACTCGTTCATTTCATTTCACTTCCCCACGATTTTGCTCAATGACTTTGACCTTTTTATTTCCCTCGATCCCTCACCACTTTGAGAAGCTTCCATCGGCTTCTGTGCCTCTTCCAACAACCATACAATATGCCCGAGGACCTTTTCCACCTTAGCTTGCAAATTCTCGTCTTTGTATACGACGATCACCGGTTCTGACAACTTGAACGATGGTTTCCCTTCACCGTCTAGCATACACTCCATAAAGTACCATTTTTCCGCATCAGTTACAATCCCCCATACTTTATCTAAACCGTAAGAATCGTCTATTTCGTTCACTTTGCGTTTACGACACGTCAATGATGATTCCATCTGAACTGTGGCCTGTGCGAAACCCTGTTTAAAGTCATCCCTTTTAACCTCAACTAAACCAACGACCCTATTAGTCGAACGACATTCTATTGCATAATCGAGATTTCCTTGACCGTTATGTCCTGTGATGAGTTTTTCCGGTATGATTTTGATTTTTTCGTCGTAGAACGATACACCGCTGGCCAGATAACAGTAAGAATAAATGGATTTCGTTGCCTCATATGTCATGTCTAATGGAGTAGTCTTTTGGCGGAGTTTCAGTTCGGCCAATAGATGTTTAACCACAGCTTTAGACTGTTCGCTACTTAGGTCTGCACTACCACACGAAAAAACGGGATACACGTCGATACTAGGGTTCGGGTCATCGCTAAGACCGTAGAGTTCGCATACTTTCGGAAAGGTCCATTCGTTGAAGGGCTTCGAGGGAGTCTCAATGAGTACAGTAAACTTGAGATTGACATTTGATACGAACAGCTGGAGTATCTTACGCAGGTCCTGATCATTACGAGGGGAGAACTTTCCACTGTCATTTATTATGTTGAGTACTGCTCCATCATTTTCAAGTGCCGGCGGTTTCTCCATTTCACGCATGGAATTTTTTCGATGTTCACGGTCCACTTGAAGCTCTTCGTTCGTTTCGGACTCACAACAACATCGAACGCTGTAATGCAACAACCAGGTTAAGTAATTTGAGGAAATGGTTTCATAATATGATGATTTCTTGGCAGAATCTTACGTACCATGGACAGACTTGTTGAGTAATGCTTGTAACGAAGCGAGTTTCTCCCTTAATTCCAATACCTCGTTCGAAGCAGTAGTTGTCACGGGTGGTTCAACTAAGACGTGAATATGTTTCTTGGGTGGCTTCTCGGTCCAGTAGTCTCCAATTTCGTTTATTGCGGACAGCTCGTCACTGCCATTGAGCTTTAGATTCTTCAACTGATCGTCAAGGTGATCGCCACCAATTTCCACCTTCCACAGCTTAATGTCTTTGACGTCTACATTAGCGAAAGTTTGCGGATTTTCCGCCTTAATAACCTTTTTGAGGTGGCCAACAAGCTGGTCCTTCTCAATATCGACAGGGAAAGCGTTCGCGAGTGTATTTCCTTTGACAAGACAGAGTAACGTGATAGACATAACGGCTTTTATAGCTATTTTTGCGAAATGTTATTGGCTAAACGGCCGTATACGAGGATAAGTGTGAAAAATTTTTTATTTGTGAAAAAGTGGGCGATAGGGGTAGGGATGCTAAGTGTTACGTTACGTTACATTACGTTACGTAACTTACGTTGTAAGTTACATAGACTTGATGTAACATTACATTTATATGTTTACCAGAATTAAGCTGATTCGGCCAGCATTACTCAGTTAAAAACTAATTTTGGCCGGGTTATATAATTTATATGAAAGATTTGCATAAAAAAAAAATTGGGCGCAGTTTAATTACATAATTATTTTTTTGGTGTGACCGATTAATAAAAATTTTTTTTTTTTTTTTAATGGGATCGGAATAGAGAAACTATTTGTAAGACNTTTTTTTTTTTTTTTTTTTTTTTTTTTGGTAGGCAAAAGGCGCAAAGCGCATATTTATTTATTAAAGAAAAACCAGTACAGAGTGCCAATTTACAGATATAAGATCTATAGTAAAAACTATCTGATAACAAATCTTGTAAAAAACCTTAGTAAAGAGTTAACACATAAAACCTTACCAACGGTAACCAAAGTTGAAGTAAAATAATAAAATAAAAATAGCAAAACTCCACTGTTTAAAAACAGTAGAAATAACAAGAACGGTTATAAAAATGATCAATTATCTTACCCACCCGGTTCACAACTACTGTAAAACCCAGGATTTCTTTTCCAAATAAAATATACTCTCTAACGCCCTCTAAAAATCTATATCTTCTGTCAAAACAATTTGGGCGGTTGGTTATTTCTTCTTTTTTTTCTTCTAAAAATAACGAATCTTGTTTTCTTTTATCCTGTTTAGTAATTTCATAATTTTTTTCAAGTTGTGCCAAAAGATTGCAGCGTGGTTCCCAAACTTGTTTTTTTGTTTCTTCAAATATATATTGTAAAAGACATGTCCCTATATCAATTGCATTATTTTTCTGATTACCTCCCAATTTACCTAGAATAAACTCATAAAGTTGTGATGGAAAAATTCCTTTGATTAAATCCACAAAATTAAATTTTTCATTAGTAAATCTATTTCCAAAAACATCTAAATTGATAATTTCTTCTGTTGTAATATTTTTGACTCCTTTTTCTATTAAGAGCATACGCAATTTGTCTATACATTTCTCAATTATAAATTTCATTTTTTTCCTATTATATCTACAGGTCCAAACATGAATAAAATCTTCTTTCTTCTTATTACATATAACACATTTGAATCCACAATATAAATCATATGAGGATTTTTTTAACTGCTCTATCGTAGGAATTTCTTCTATCAGTCTTTGTATCTTCATCCGTTTTTGTTTTTCAATCCATTTATTTGTCAAAAATGTATATTCTTCTTCTTGTTGTTTGTTTAAATAATAAAAAACTATATTCCATTTTACATCTAAAAATCTATATCGTTTATTTCTGTTTAGATTTAAGAACTTTTCTAATCCCTCTATTCTAGTTATTAATCTAACAAAATGTCGTATATTCATCTCTATTAAATGTCCATTCCAAACAAGAGGAAATTTATACTGTTCTGCATTATATATGACTAGCGTATTAGTTAAACTATAATCTAATTCATAACTATCTTTAATTTCTTTATCTACTTGATTATGTAAAACGTCATCTGAATGTGCATTTACTTTAACTATTTTAACATCTAGCGTTTGATCTTCCAAAAGTTCCTTAATATTAAACCAAATAGCATTGTTGTTTGAGAATTTCAATATATCACGTGTTGTTGTTACCACTATATCACTTGTTAATAAATTAAAGTTATTGACTATATTCTGACAATCTGTATAAACAGTGCATTTTTTCCCTGGAGGTATCATTAGAAGAGCTGTAAAGAATGCCATCGTTTCTGCCTTAATTGATGTGATCCATTGTTCTATTGTTGAAAAATATTTATCTATCAAATTATTATTTTCATCATATATCATAACACCAAAAATTGAATTGATATTTTCTGTCCCTTGATTTCTGACCGAGCCATCTATATAGAATAAGATTTTCTCTGATTTGTTGTTAGTTATTCTTTCTTTTATTCGTCTAATTTTTTGATGTGCTATATTATATTGACTTCTTTTTTCTAAAAACTTATCTATGTTATCTTTTGAAATGATGTATTCATTGACATATTCCTTTATCCTTGAATGATCATATAAAATTCCAGTTCTAAAAGCATAGTTATACCTATAGCTCTGAAAAATAATATTCACTAATACCTTCATAAAAATAAGTATTATTTCCTAATGCTTTATTATGATTGTGTCCATTCCATCTATTTGCTGATATTAAAAATGTATTATCCATTCTTTCTATGATTAGACATTTAGTTTTTGCTTTATCTTTGAATATCGACGCATTTTGTATTCCAATTTCACATCCTCCACATTTTTTTAAAACTAAATTTTTTTCTTTTTCCATTGATATATTTTCAAAATGATTTGAAAATGCTAGTTTGTTATCTAAATCCAATTCAACAATTTTTCCAAATACTATTCTATTTTGATAAACTCCTCTTGATAATTTTGAAATAATCGTAGCTCCTTTATTGGGTTTAGTTTCTGCAGTAATCAAAATTGTACCTTTCATATTACAGATGTCATCATCTAATTCAACCATATTTGCTAATTTTTCCGACTTAATACTGTAAGTGGCTTTGGAGTAAGTCATTTCTTCAATAATTTCATGGTAAAACTTCGTGTATTTCTGTAATTTCTTCTTTTTGTTTAATTTAATAAAACTTCTAGATTCCAATTCTTCTATTGATAGTATATACCTATTGTCCAAAGTAGTAATCTGATCTAAAAAGATGATATTATTATCCTTAAAAAATTTAAAATTTGCTGTATATACTTCTATTGATAAAATATCCCTCAAAGCTGTTGGTCCTCCTTCAATACTGAAATCACTTAAAATTTTGTCATTTTTTAGTATATTAAAATTATTTTCTATCATGAGTTTAATATTGTTTACTATAAAATGTCCTATATATTTTTTTTTGTTGATACGCTTAATAATTTGTAATACTTTATCGTCGATTATATATAATGGATGATTTTCTAGAAGTAATTGACGCTGTAAATCCATAAATCTAATTTTCATTATCATGCCTAAAACGCCTTTATCATTTATCTGTAGAGTAAAATTAGTAATCTTTGCCTGTTTTTGATTTGCTACGAAATTATTCAAATTGTAAATAAAATTAGTTTCTAAAATAGCATTTGAAGCTGTTTTAGCAAATTTTAATTTGTTTTTGATGAACATTCTAAATGGAGCCATGAGTTTATCTAGACTAACATCTTCAATAACGTAAAGTTGAGATCTATATTCAACAATTGAAATAATGAGAGCGTTAAAGAGGTAAATCATCATCTTGTCGGTAATACCCTTTTTGCTGGATAAGTTTTTGATAATAGCTTTAATTTCATTTTTGATTTGTTGTTTGACGTGTTTGTTGTCATTATATGCATTTATCCATACTCCTAAAAATCTTGATGACTGATCACGTGTTGTGGGTTCAACTTCAATTGTATCAAGACCAAAAATAATTCTAACTTTCTTATCGAGAGGATTTTTCTTGTTAATATTCTTTCTAAGTAAAAGTTCAGACTTTTGTTTATTAATTTTGATGTCGTTAAGTCTATAGAATGAATCTGCTATCTCAAGGATTTTTTCTAAATTTCTCTTATTATTTGCAATAAATCCAGTGTCGTCCATATATGCACAACCAGGGAAAATAATAGATCTTGGTCTGAAGATATTTTCATAAATATTTATACATTCTTGAGTTTCCATTTTAAATCCTAGGTTTGTATTTCTAATTCTTGTAAGAAGAGGGTCGTAGTAGATTATCCATAAAAGAGGTGAAATTATTTCTCCTTGGTCTATCCCTGTTATCATCTCAAAAGGTTGTGTTAATCCTGTTGGTATAAATACTTGATTTGTTCTATTTTTAAATAAATTTGTCAAAATATATATTATCTTCTTCGGGATCTTGATTCGTTCTAAAGCTTTTTCTAGCATATAGATGTTGATTCTATCGTATGCTTTATCACATTTCTTTTTTGTTATCATTTGCATAATTTATAATTTCATTTACAATTCTCAAGGGTTCAAATGTTGATTTTTTTGGAAGTCCTGCAAATTGATAACCTTTTAAAATATCATTAGTAATAAAAATGTTTGACAAACGATTTGTTAGTATTTTAACGAAAAATTTCCTTGCTGTTTCTAGTAGGGTTATTGGTCGTGTATTGTTTAAATCATAACGCCATGGTTTTGGTTTTGGTATTGGATATATATGAGCTCGTAACCAATCTTTTGGTAAATTTCCTGTTTCTAATATGTCATTAAAAATTTCTTGTATTAATTCTTTTAATGGTTCTATAGTTAGTTTTATATCTTCGTATGACATTCCAGTAAGTCCCGTAGCTTTTTCCCCAGGAAGCATTTTAGCTGTTTCTAATAATTCTTCTATTGATATTGGTTTAAGAACACTATCATATATTGATGATGAAATTTCATCTTTAGGTTGATATTCATCAATCCAATCCTGAGGAATTTCTTTAATTCTATTTATAGATCCAGCACAGTTTTGGAAGTGCTCAGCAACAATTTTCTTAATTTCATTTTCGTCTGTGATTAGAATATCATCTCCTTCTTCGTCTTTAGTAATTACTCTATCTATATGTATTTTTTTAAATTCTCGTTCCATAACATTATCTATCATCCGTTTTTTATCAAATTCTAAGTCTTGTTGTCTTTTCTCTATTGCTTCTGTAATCTTCTTTTCTTTCCTTTTCATTAATTCCGTGTTAAGATTAATTTGCGCTATACTAAACAGTTCTTCTGCTTTTTTAATATATATCATATACAACAATTTACTAAAATTATAACTTGTTAAATAGAAATCTCCACCTATATCTAAAGAATCAAGCATTTTTTGTAAGTTTTTAACAATAATCTTCCATTTTTCTTTAAGCAAAGAAAGTTTCCGTTTTTTCTTAACACATCTTCTAAGATAAACTATAAATCTATAAAATTTATAAACCATGCTAGTTTTTAATTCTTCATCTGGTTTTTCAGTTATGACTTTAATTTCTGTATGTTCTATCCCCTTTTTTTTGACTGTTGATATGACGTGATTATATATATTCCATTTTTCTTCTATATTATTTGGTGTAAATTGTTCTATACGATTATTTAATTCTGCTTTTGCACTTTCTCTAATTTGTTCTTTCTTTTCATCTGTTAGTTTATCATAACTGTATTTAATTCTATACGATGGAATTTTCGTCTTCTTTAGTACTGATTGTGGTAGTAACTCTTTTCTATCTAATTTAACTATCAAAAGTTTATGATCTGTATCGTTATATTCATTTTGTATTATCTTCGCATTTATTAAGGCGTTGTCTAAGTTTCCTGATATCCAGATGTAGTCTATTCTAGAAAAGGTAGCATAGTTTTTAAAGGAGCTATATCTTTCTTCTAATTGTTGGTCATCTATATCTAGTAAGTTCTTATGTGCATCTATAAAATCATGATTTTCTAAGTATTTAAAAATATTAAATTGGTTATCTATTCTAACATTTCTATTTCTTAATTTTTCATATTTTCCATAATTTAGATTAAAATCTCCTAAAATTATAATTTGTTGTTGATTTCTTCTAGAAGTTTTGATCATATTAATAACTAACTGATTAATAGTTTGTTGTTCTTCCCTAGCTTGTTTACAATTTCCACTTTTATTGTATATCGAAATAATTGATAATTTGTTATATTTACTGAATTCAAAATCAATTTTAATTATTCTTCCTAATTGAACTTGAACGTCACTAATATTATTTGCTATTTGTTTTTTAATAAAAACTATTACGCCTGTACTATTTTGTTTGTTATTATCTATAGTCCCTTGTATAATGTATTCTTCGTTAATTCCTATTTCTTTTGCCATAAATTTTGCATTCTTAATATTAATCTTTGTTTCTGTTAATGCTAAAAAATCCAAATTATATTTTTTCAGAATATCATAAATATTCATCAATTTTAGTTGATTAAGTGTTCTAATATTCAATGTAGCTATATTAAAAAAAACTTTGGTTGTAAGTTCGATATTTTGATGATTATGATCAGAATTGTGATTATTTTTATTATTTTGTTGTGAATTCTTCTTTTTTTTGATTCTTTTTTTATAGTTTCGTATATGAATAGGATCATTGCTTTTTCTTTTTCCATCAGTAAAAGGGGGTTATTGGAATTTAATTGTATATGTTGGATATTAATATTAATTTGATTGTCCATCATTATTAATTATTATTGTTATTTGAAGTAGAAGCGTTGTTATCCCCCTTAATAACAGTGCTTTTTTGTTTTTTGTTACTGTTGTTATTATTATCTTGGTTTTGATATACTTTTTCAAACTTTGAACTCATATTTTGCAACATATTCATCATAGCTTTCATGGTATCATCAGCTTTATCCATTCTGTTAGAGAGCAAATAAACGTTATTAGCTGCATTGGTACCTGATCCGCTAGATTCGTCATTTCGAACCCTTTTGTTATTACTATTGAAAACTAAACCTCCTCTTTTCTTATTTTGAACATCTCCAGAAGGTGCAGCTGTACGATCTTTTAAGTTTGGATTATGATGGATTTTGATCGTATTTAACTCTTTTCTCATTTCATTTTGTTCTTTAATCATACAGTCCATCATGTCTTTAATTTTTGCGAAATCATTTTTAATCTCTTGTAAATTTTCATTAGTTTGTCATTGTACATGTACCTCTTTTTCATTATCGCTCATATGCATCGATCCTCCTTTTTTAGTTCCTTCAGAAAGATCATGTGATCTGAAGTTACGTCTGATTTTTAGGAGGCTCATCCCAATCATACATTGAAGATTCTTCCATATTATAATTTTCATCTTCTTCTTCAAAAGAATCTATATAATTTTCCGTTTCATAATTCTGATTAATATTTCTCTTATTCCAATATCTATTAGGGTATTTGTTACGATAATTCATTTGTGACGATTCTTCATCATATTGTTGTTGTTGTTGATTATTCTGATTATTCCTTCTTGTTCCTCTTGCCGCAGCTTGGGCGTATGTTGAAGGAATTTGTTGAGAGTTAGTATTACTTTGGTTAAGATGACTTCGTTTAATTTCTCTGATTTGACGGAAGTAATCATTCTTTCTCATTGGTCGTCTGTGTGGTGATATATAATCACAATCTCTGATATAATGGCCTGTATATCCACAACGGAAGCATGATTGTACGTTAGGATCAGACCACTCTGTTTGTTTTTCTCTGATAATTAGAAGTTTATCCATTGCTGCTTCCATAACTTCTCGGCTTCTAAAATATACATAAGCATATTTCTGTGTTTCGTTTGTATATGTATTACGTGGTATATAGAATTCTACTACATCTGATGTGTCAATAAACTCTTTGAATTCAATTGCTTGAGCATTCGATGGTATCCCGTTGAGTTTTTTACAGAACTTTCGTAAATTTTCTCTAATATCATTATTCATCAGGAATGGTGTAACATAAAGCATTTCACCATATATCCATAATGAATTATTATCATAAAAACGGTTAACACTATCAGCATTTTTATAAGTAATATATATTACTTGTTTATTAGGGACATGTACATGTGGCCTTCTAGAATAGCATTCATCTTCAATCAACTCGCCATATTTCCTCATGAAGGGCTTAACAATAGCCGTAGTGATCTGAAGCGAGGCATTAAAAATTTGTATAACACGATCACGTGATTGTTGATTATTCTGTTTGATTCTATTTCTTCGTGTAATGACTTCTTCAAAATGATATTCTATTTCATCGCAAGTATATGGAATCTCTTTTAAGGTTGTAAATGTTTCTTGCGTAATAAGGATTGCTTGTAAGGAAATTCCTACAATTTTCTTAAACGCACTTGTATCTTCTGTTTGAGCTGAAGTTGTATCATTAAGCGGATTCTTTATAATTTTTTGTGTAGTAACCTGAATAGTAAGGCTAGTAATATCATCTTGTTTCAGCCTAACATCTTCTAGTATATTATTATGCACCATTTTTAAGAATTTTTTATATTCTTCTAATAAAGACAAATCAGAAACTGGAATTGATAGCTTAGCGATAATCCTGTTTTATTCTAGTTTATGTACTTGCGTGACATCATTTGGATCATCCACAATCATTTCTATATCAGGTAAATCTGGTTGTTGATCATGCATCATATGGTCACTCTTTTCAGCATTGTTTTGATCAGGGCTAACATGATCATCGATTGGCTGATCATTTGTTTGTTTGTTTACATCATCTGGATTGACCGGAGGCATAGAAACTGATTGGCCCATATTGTTATTATCCATTCCAGGCGAAGATACCAAGAAGACTGGAGAAGAAGAAGCGTCTCCAATATGTCCAGGTTGTGTTGTGAACCTTATTTGTTGTTGTTTCTTCTTTCTTTCAGTACGCTTGTTAAAAGCCTCTTTAGGCTCCAGAGTTTTATTAACGTTGACTAAGGGAGAATCTTTTGCCTGAGCAGTGGTATTATTTTCACGAAAAGAACTCTTAGCGAAACTGTCACTTTGTGAGTCAGCCTTTTGTTTGGCTGTTTCTGAGCGTGTACGTTGTGAAGGTAGAGACGTTGGCGGCGCCATATTGTCAAGTTCAAATATATGTTCTGTAAAGCCTGGGTATGAAGAGTTAAAATATGCCAGTTTTGTAAATAAATTTATTCGCGAAAACTATGGTGAGTGACAGAAGCAGAAAGAGTTTTTTCTCTCTTATACTTTATAATTTATATGAAAGATTTGTTGCATAAAAAAAGATCGGGCGCAATTTAATTACATAATTATTTTTTTGGTGTGACCGATTTATAAAATTTTTTATTTCTTGATTTTTTTTTAATGGGATCGGAACAGAGAAACTATTTGTAAGACCAAGAAGGAACACTAAAATTTACTTAAAGAACTTAATATTTTTTAAATTTTGTTGAAAACGGAGTTTTAGAAAACTAATTAAAAGACGAAATTGGTGAGTATGAGGAAGAACGTCAGCATTTACTTAATTAACCATTAGTAATGTTCCTTCTTCTATTTTGTAGGAAAACAGAGCTTTGGGAAACTGTTTAAAAGGCAAAATGAGTGAGTATGGGAGAACGTCAGCATTTACTTAATAAAACAGTACTATAAAACAGTACTAATGTTTTTCTTTAAATTTATAGAAATGGCAACGAACCGCTGATTGCATAATCATTTATTTTTAAATCGTAAGAAATACATATCAATCATCTAAATCTAAATCAAACTCACTTTCTTCATATTCTGTTAAAGTTTTGAAATTGTTATCAATGTCACCTTCCAGTTCTTTATCTGATTCTTCACCTAACTTTTCGTCATCTGATTCTAAATCACTCATTTTTACGCCACTTTTAATTAATTCTTTGACCATAAGTGGCACTTCCAATTCTCGAAGAATTCTAATATTCCAATATATATATACTAATTTTTCTGCTCGATCAATAACCATTCTATTTCGCAATTTGGAATGAATAAAATTATATGTAGACCAATTTCTTTTACTTACTGCTGAAGAAGCCGGAATTGATAAAACTTTAATTGCAACCGAACTAAGTAGTGGGTATCTTGACTTTAATAAATTCTACCAATTAATTGGCATTTGATTTAATCCACTTCACAAATGTTTTTTAGCAAATCCTCCGCGTCTTCCTATATATTCACTTAATTCAATTAATACCCGAACTTCATTCTCTTTTCTGGCAATACGTATAATTTCTTCTTCTATAATATCATGCCAATTACCACTATTTACTAGTTCTCCATTAAATCTAGGATCTAATCTATATGCAACAATAACCGCAGGATTATATAAAAAGTTGTCCCACCGATATTTAGCTCTATCTATTGAATATTCAACTAAATCATTTGGAATTTTATTATTTAATAAGATGTTATTTTCAATATCTCGTAATGTAACAAAAGCTGATGAAAGATAAGGTTCGTCTTCTTTTAATTTTCGTATAAAATTTATAAACAGTTCCAAAAAATCACGAAGATTTTTAAGTTCTTCCCAAAAACAATCATCAATAATGTAATTTTTAATTTCTTGATTTAAAATAATATTTTCTTCCGCCAACAATGCTCTCATTGCAATTTTTGTTTTCAAAATATGATCTAAACACTCAAACACTGACATCCATCTTGTTTCAACAGTTAATGTTAAAGCAACTTTATATCCATACTTTTCTTTTTGTATTCTCCGAAGTGTAGCTAATGGAATTTGGTGATTACGAAAATATAAAGCCAATCGTTTCGCTTTTTCTAAGATATCATTAGCCCATTTGTGTTTCATTATATCTTTTACCCACAAATTAATTTCATGTGCCCAACATCCAAGAAAAATCTTATCAGCATACTTTTCTTTAAGTATTCTCCATGCTGATTTCATATTATTAGCATTATCAGTTATTACAGCCGTAAATTTGTCAATTCCAATTGATATCATACATTCTTCTATACCTTTGGCTATATTTTCCCCAGTATGATGCTCTTCTTTTGTATATACTGATTTATAAAAAATAGGTTTTGGAGTTGTTATCATGTAATTAACTATTGGAGCTTTATTTATGTTTGACCATCCATCACTAGTTATGCAAAAATATGGTGTTTCATTAAAAACATTTCGGACTAATTTTTTCAAATCTTTATATTCTTTATTTAGTAAATTACCAGATAATGTGTGACGTGACGGAATTTGAAATGAAGGACATGCTTTTTGTAAAAATGCTTAAAAATCAACATTTTCTATTATATTAAAAGGAATTCCAGTACTGCAAAATGCACGAACTAATAATGATTCTAATTCTTCCTGATCTTGTTTTGTAAAAGAAGGCATATAGTGATTTAAAGTAGTTTGTTTACGTTTATTAGTTTGGTTTACAGTAGGTTTAGGTTCAGATACGATGGATTCCATTGTAATTTTCCTTGCAAGACAAGTATTAAGATGTTCTTGTAATCTTGTCACGTTTTTTGCCCATTCAGAATTACAATATATGCATTTATATCATTTTTTTCCATTGGAGTCTATTGTTTCTTCAAATTCTGACCAGAAAGAATATCTTTGTTTCAGCATTTTTTTAAAAATTGATTATCTTTGATCATCTTTAATTTATATCAAATTAAATGTTACAATAAAATAGTGTAACGTAACTTATAGAAAATTACCATAACGTAACAATAAATTTCATAAATTACCTTCCCTACCGCCAGAGCTTACTGCCTTTAAATGGCAATTGCTCGAACACAATAGGGAAACTTTTGGACGATTAATGCAGGATTTGACTAAGACGCGTAAGAGATTGATTGAGTCCAATTACCAGTTGTGCCATGAAATCAAGGATTTGAAAATGAAGGTGCGGAAGGCAGAAACTTTTCTCACTTATCTGAAGTCTTCAACTAACCCAACTTCAGGGGCTCATTCCAGCCCAAACTAATCGCTAATGGATCGTTTATTGCCTTAGTAAAATCAAAAACCACAAAGTTTCAGTTTCGCAAATGCCTATCAATAACCTTAGATGCTTTTTTAGGATAATCAGTATATTGCCACACAATTCTGGCTATATCATCCTAACTTCTCGCACCTCAGAACAGAACTAAATGTAAGACATTTTCATGAATTATTTTAGGAGTTTGTGTATACTTCTGACTCACGTATATGCTTGATACACCTTGATGTCAGCTGCTAATGAAATATGGAACAATTCGATCCTGTATCTTCTTCGATTCAGCGCAAATATTCTTGAAGACTACAACAGTATTTCTATCTGGGGAAAATTTAGTTACTTCTAGGATGGAATCTGCCTTTAATACGCAAAATGTTATATTTTCCTGATATAGCTTCAGGGCTTCTGCAAATAGTTTGTAGTAATTTTTAACCAATACCCATTTGGGTTCGTGAATATGCTTTCCGATTAGAACTAGATCATTATTTTTTACATAACAGTGAGGGAGGCGTCAAGGTTTATCAGAGCCTGCCTCTCCCCTTTCTTTTTCTTTTGCAGACGCTAGATTTTATTTCTAAGGAAAAGATTAAGAATCATATTAGTCTTTCCACTATCTGATCTGCCACAAATTAACAAACGAAAAGAAAAAGCAAGATTTGCGAGATGATTGATATTCTTCATACTTTTTGCCTCGTCAAGATGGTAGATGTAATATTCCATTCTTCTCATTCTGATTGGGCAGTTTTTTTGCAATAAGGATAAAATGATTTGCAATTTTCTGAGACTGCGCAGCTCATCAAAGACTGACAGCCCGTCATCTTCACCTATCTCCGCATCTGATTCATTGATCCACCATCAGGAAGTTACAGAAAAAATGTGCATTACATGTACATTTATGCAAATCATGTACATTGCAATATTCATTCTTTTTAATGTACAAGTAATATTTATTGACAATATCCATTATTTGCAACATCTAGTAATAAACATTTGCTGTACATAATACTGATGTTAAGTGATGTACATTATAATATAATTATACTATAAATACTATAATTTTTTTTTTATTTTTAAATCACAAAGTAAACTGAGTTACAGTAAAAAATTACAAGGACCCTATCACTACTAAAGCCTAAAGTAATTATAACAACTGATAACCAAAATACAACTGACCCTTGCAGAATCAGAATATTGCCACCTTGGTGTAAAATAGAAAAATGAGTAGGAGCTAGATCATGAACCCTCTTCCGAACATACAGATAGGGATGTAAAATTACCGTAATTTATAAAATTTATTGTTATGTTACGGTAATTTTCATATAAGTTATATGTTACATTATGTTATTGTAACATAAAATTTTTTTTTTAATCAAAATCTGAAGAAACAATAAATCCCAATAAAAAAATGATATAAATATAAATACTGTAATTCTGAATGAACAAAAATGCAACAAGATTGCAGGAATATGTTAAAACTTGTATGATAAGATCATAAAAAAAGTTGAATCTGAAACTGTAAAACATGATAATAAGCTACTTTTTATTTGTTAATGTTCATTATAAATTATAAACTTGGCCAAGATTAAGGTAATACTGGCTGAATTATCTTAATTCTGGTAAACATATCAATTTAATGTCAGAAACTTAGTGTTTTGTGACTTAGCAGTTATGTGTTCGTCACCCAATATTTTTGAATTCGTATCTATCTTGTGACGACATTTTTTGCTAAGTTTTCAATAATATTTCGATAAAATTTTAACAAAAACCAGTCTTGAAATAGTGACGAGCTGGAATAATAATCTTAAATAACCTCAAACATCAGTTGGAATAATTTAATCGAGACATTTGTGCAATGTATCTGCGAGTATACAACTATTGACTAAATCATTTTTTAAGATTTCAAAAATATTTTTTTTGTTTCATATTTATTTTATTTTAAAAATTTTTATTTTATTTTATTTTATTTTTTGAAGTGTTAAATTTGTGAAATTAGATGAAATACTTTGCTAATAACCAAAAATTTGCTAAATGTATTTTAGTCTTGTAGGACATCGTACAATACATTAATTGTAATATTAATTTATTAACAATAAATTGTAAAAAATTTAAGAAGTTTGCTATTTACCACCACTGGTG